AAAGATATGGGACAAATTCTAAATACAAAAAATAAATGACAAAAGGTTTGTAAAAGCAAAACCCTAAAAAGTTTTATACATGATCAAATTGGCTGAAATAGACTAATAAAAAATTAGGATTGGGCTTTCTTTCTTATAAAGGTAATTTTCTTGAACTTTTGATCTGCTCTTTATATAAAAATTAAAAGATGTTCCTTTAAGTAAATCTATATAAAAAATAAAACACCTATGTTTTGTTAAAATAATTTCCTGTGTTCAAGAGTACTAAAGTCTCTCAAGGTTTTTGTTTTTTGACTGTTTTAACTCTCTATTTGCCTTTGACTGTTTCTGTTGTCAACTTGATTAAATAAATAACTAGGCATTGTTTCCTATTTAGCCAAGTGTTTTAAAATCTTTTAACATTTTTGATAAACTTCTGCCAAAATTAAAGTCTTTTCTTTTAACTTAAAAAAAAATTATAAAAAGACATATGATTATGATGCCAAAATACAATTATTACTGTAGTTCATGTTAATGCTCACAGTTCTTTAATTTCTACAAAACAAAAGTATAACTCTTATGCTGATCAGCTGGTACAAAGTCGTGCAGTGCTCAACACAGATTTAACACGGTGAGTCCATAAAAAGAGTGGACACTTGGAAAAACAAACTTCATACAGGCGGGCACAACAAAGGGGAATCTTTGTCATCCATGATGATATTGCCACTGCAGTACAACAATGTCAATTATGCCAACAGTTAAATAAACGGGGAGTTCCACACCCCTACCAAGGTCATATTCAAAAGGGATTATTTCTCACCCATACCTGACAAATAGATTTTATTGGACCATTGCCAAATTCTTGTGGATATGTTTATGCCTACACTGCTGTTGATACATATTCTGGTTATTTATTAGCTATGCCGGCTAAAGCAGCCACCCAACAGAGTGCCATAAAATTCTACGAAGCACCAGGGCAGATTCAGAGTGACAATGGTTCCCACTTTACAGGTAAGTTGATTCAAACTTATATAAAGGAAAATCATATAGAATGGATTTATCATATACCTTATTACCCTCAAGCTGCAGGCCTCATAAAACAAATACATGGATTGCTTAAACAACAATTGAGAAAACTTGGTCATGGCTCATTAAAGGGGTGGCACAACCATCTAAGTACTGCTCTAAATATGTTAAATAACAGGCCACTAGGCCCTAATGAGACTCTTTTGTCAAGGTTATTACCAGCAAAGATTACAGAAGTGGCAGCCGCCACCCATGAGCTTATGACCTTAATATATTGGCCATTGACTCAATCTGCTAAAACACCTTTTCGTGCCATGGCCAAAGCGGCTGGATTGGAATTATCCACTGTTTATTCTATTCAATTGCCCCCTAAGAAGCAATCTATATTCCCTACTGAGATAGGGGTACAATTTCCCAAAAACACGTTTGTTTTGTTAAAAGGATGCTCTAGACTAGCGACAAAAGATATTGATGTACTAGGAGGAGTCATTGATCCAGATTACCAAAAAAAAAAAAAAAAAAAAAAAAAAAATTTATATAATGATAGGGACACAATATTAACTATAAAGTCTAAAAAACAAATGGGACAATTATTGGTACTTCCCTTCTTGACTCCAAATGTGTCACAAGGGCAACCTCCAACTAAATTAACTGAAAAAAAAAAAGCAAGAATTTAGGTCTACAGATGGATAAAAACCTGGGACAAAGGTGTGGGTGACACACCCACCGAATGCGGCTCCTTGTGCTGCAGAAATAGTGGCCCAAGGGCCCACTACAACACTCATAGTCATGTATCCAAAAAGTAAACAATTATATCATGTTTCTAAAAATTCTGTTTCTTTGCATAAATAGATATTCCTGCTATGCTCGCTATGCTATGCTGCAACTCCATGTCTGCTGCAGACCTCCACACCATCTAATGTCTCTGTAGGACAACCTTTAACCCTAAACTGCTAAAACAACTGCTCTACATCAGTGGGACCTGTAACCTGGACTATGAATGGCCGAGAAGTTTTGGTCTCAAAAACATCAAACAACTTCTCAGTATAAGCCTATATCTGATCAATTATACAAAACTATAATTTCTCTATTACCCTGCCTTCTGCTACTTTCCATGATGGGGGCTGGTCTGGACTTCTACAAGCTAATTTGTTAGGCCTAGATGTTACCTTATCTAATGTTATCTTTGATGTTATACATAATTTGCAAGATCAAGTTAATAATGCTTCATATTCTAAGGGATTATTTAATTAATTATCTTGGGGTTTGGATCCTTTATTACAAGATAATTTTATAATTATTATAGTCAGTGGATTTGGGATTCTTGGATATGCCTTATATACTTATGTACAAAGTTCATTATCTATACATATAATATCTTATGGTTAATAGAGATGGCCACAGCCAAAAATGTCTTGATATGAGTACAGCCATGTTTCACCGCTCCGTTGACCTACAGCCACCAACACACAAAAAAATATAAAAGCTGCTTTCTGTGTGGTGGAAACTGGCCCTTATCCCATGGAGATAGTTGCAATGTGTGAAAATTTCAAGGCCCTTTGGGCGCCGCAGCCTGGGACAGACTGGCCATCTGTGCCTGGCTGGGACGATAACCAGGGTAAACAATGCACGTACACAACAATTGGGCTGGGACGATAGCCAGAGGGCTCAGTGCACGTACGCCACTGATAAACATTTGTGCATAGAAACACAAAATGCTTGCTCTGTCAACTCTGTAACTGCTTATATAAACTGCTGGAAACCGAGGCCTGGTGAGAGCTCCACCTGTGGAAGGGACGCCTTGCCCAGGACGTGTGATTCCCGCCCAGCCATGTCGATTGGCAGGACTCTCCCGACAATGGGGTGTGGATGTTGTGAGTAATTGTTGTAAAGTAATTAATCTAATACGTTCTCTTTTCGGTCAACCTGGTGTTTCTCTTTCCGGTTGATTTGTGTCATTTCCCTTCAGTC